CTCTTCTCTTCCTTGTGTTCTTAAAGTTTTGGAGGATCACACTTGTATTTTAGTATTAGATTCTTTACAAGACTTTATATAATCCTACGAACCGTTTGCCGAAATCTTTAGACATCTCAATCAATCTCGAGATGAGGTAAATATAGTTCGAGAACAGCAATTACGCGTTCGAGCCTTCGATTTTGTTTTTATCAAGTTTCTAGTGTTAATTATTTTTGTTGTTGCATTATTGTGATATTATTCTTGTCTCTAGTCCATTTTTTCTCTATATTTTTTCAACAATCTGAAACTATATTTATCTAGTTGTGGAGAACGAGACGACCATGACGACCATCAAACTTATGAATCAAGATTTGGTTTGATTGGATCGGTTTGATAGGACAAACTTCAAACGGTGGCAAAACAAGTTGAAATTCCTATTAACAGCATTGAAGATCTTCTACATTTTTTATCCAGATTTGACACATTTGCCGGAACCAAACAAATGGAGAAACCGAAGCAATCAAGGTCAAGAGACAAAAACGCTGAGAAGATGAGTTGATTTGTCGTGGTCATATTTTGACTGCTTTGTCGGATCACTTGTATGATCTATATACCAACACTTCTTCACTAAAAGAAATCTAGAACGCATTGGAAAGTAAATACAAAGTGGAAGAGGAATTTACAAAGAAGTTTTTGATTTCTAAATACTTTGATTTTAAATTTTTAGAAAATATTCTCCTTCTTCCCTAAGTGCATGAGTTGCAAGTGATTGTCAATAAATTAAAGACGGTGAAAATTGAAATCCCGGAAACTTTTTAAGTGGGGGCTATAATTACTAAACTCCTGAAAACTTAGAAAGGATATCAGAAGAAAATAATGCATAGTTCCGAAAATTATTCTTGGGAACAATTGCAAAAATATCTTCGGAATGAGAAAGAATCTCGATTACGTGACAAAAGTGAAAACTCTTTGGAATGAACTTCCAAGGCAAATGTTGTTGAAAAATTCGACCTGCCTACAAAATTCAACAAGAGGAAGCATTCAAGGAACTTTAACAAGTCCAAGAAGAAGACTAAAGGAGGATGTTTTGTTTGTAAAAAATCTGGTCACTGCGCTAAGGAGTGTAGACCCAGAAAACAAAACAACTCCGAGGGTAAAGTGAATTTCATCCAAAAGGACAAAATTGTGGCTACCATAAGTGAAATAAATTCTATCAAAGGAAAAGTATCCTGGTGGTGGTATGATACTTGTGCAATCATACATGTATCATATGATAAATTCTTGTTCAAAACATATCATGAGATGGATTGAAGCCAAGAGATTCAAATGGGTAATGAAGTGCGGTCCAAAGTAATTAGCAAGGGAAATGTTGATATTATCTTCACGTTCGGGAAAACCGTTACTCTAACAAATGTATTGCACGTTCGGATATGAATGGAACTTGGTTAATGGAAATCTCTTAGGTAAACCAGGCATTAAAAGTGAATTTGAGTCCGAAAAACTTGTATTATCCCTTAACGAAAAATTTGTTGGAAAAGGCTATTCTTGCGAAGGAATTGTTAAATTATGTACTGTTGACAATGAATTGAATAAAACTGATTTTGCTTATGTTTTGAATTTATTTTCATTACGGCTTGCTAGATTAGGTCATGTTGGAATAAGTACCATATAACGCTGAAAAAATGTGAATTGATCTCATATGATGGAAATAATGAAAATAAATGCAAGATATGTGTAGAATCTAAAATGATCAAAAAGCCTTATCATAGTGTGAAAAGGAATTCTAACATTGTAGAACTTATTCATACTGATATATGTGAAATGAATGGTATGTTAACTAGAGGTAAAAATAGGTATTTTATTACCTTTATTCATGACTTTTCTAGATATACGAATGTTTACTTGATAAAGTATAAAAGTGAAGCTTTTGATATGTTTAAAGTGTACAAAAACGAGATAAAAAATTATTTAGAAAAGAAAATTAAAACCTTAAGAAGTGATAGAGGTGGTGAATATTTTTCCAGCAATTTTAACTTGTTTTGTGAACAACATGGAATTATTCACCAATGTTCCGCACCTAGGACATCCGAACAAAATGATTTAGCTGAAAGGAAAAATAAAACCTTAGTTGAAATGGTTAATGTCATGCTCATTCATGCTAAGTTTCCATTTAACTTGTAGGGTGGAACTTTATTAAGTGCATGTAGGATACATAATAGGATTCATTCGAAACATACTAAGGTTTCTCCTTATAAATTGTGGAAATGAAGAAAATCAAACATTGAATACTTCAAAGTATGGGGGTGTCTTGCTTATTGCAAGAACATGAATCTGAATAGAACCAAATTGAGTCCAAGAGGCATTAAATGTGCCTTTGTGGGATATACGAATAATAGCAAATCTTATAGATTACTGAATTTGGAGTCTAATGTGATTATCAAATACAATGATGTAGAGTTCTTTGAGGATTTGTTATCTTCGAATAATGAATTGAGGGAAAATCTTGAATATGTCACTAACTCAAGTGGCACACGTGATGAAATGTCTTTTAAAGATGTTGATGAATCTAGTGAACCACGAAGAAGCAAGAGAACTCGGGTTGAGAAGTCTTTGGGACTAGATGAAATCGATTCTCAACTTATCTCCTTTTACTTAGTAGAGTGAAATGAGTTGAATGTTGTAAGAATAATTCTTTTTGTTCTACAAGTGGAAACTAACCCTAAGACTTATAAAGAAGCTATCACTTCACGTGACAGCATCTTTTGGAAGGATGCAATGAAGGACGAAATGGATTCGATAATGTCCAACAATACTTGGGAACTTGTAAAGAATAGTGGAAGGGCAATTGCTCGATTGGAATATGCAAGTGCTATAAAAAGTCTTATGTATGCAGTTCAATGCACAAGACCGGATATAGCCTATGCAATAAGCAAACTTAGCAGGTTTACTAGCAATCCGAGCAACGCTTATTGGAAGGCTATTGGAGAAATTCTTGGATACTTAAAGAAAACCAAGAACTTGGGTCTACAAAATAATAAATTTTCGACGGTATTGGAGGAATTTACCGATGCTAGTTGGATATCTATCATGGGCAAAAGTAAATCCACCTCGGGTGAGGAGGTGTTGTTTCTTGGAAATCAAAGAAACAAACATGTATAACACACTCAATCATGGAATCTGAATTTGTAGCACTATCGGATACTGGGAAAGAGGTTGAGTGGCTTAAGGATCTCTTCTACGAAATACCTTTGGGATCGACGAATATATCTTCAATACCTATCACATGTGATAGTCAAGCCACGTTAGCGAAAGCATACAATGAGGTATACAATAGAAGATCTAGACATATGAGTCTAAGACACGATTACATAAAGAAATTAATGAAAGATTGAATAATTTCCTTAAAGTATGTGAAGTCAATTGAGAACTTAGTGGATCCTTTAACTAAACCACTAAATAAAGATTTAGTGGCATCTACTTTGAGTAGTATGGGGTTGAAACTCCTTTCATAATAAAGGTCCACCAATGACGGCAACCCTACCCGTCATTACTCAAAATGTAATCCGAGGGTTTAAATGGTACAAAGAAGTCATTTGATATGTGGGATGGTTTTAGCATTATTCAAATCCGCAATAACCTTTTCATAAGTAAAATAAAGCTGGTTGTTACTGAAATTAGGGTTGAGCATTAAAGCTCTTAATGAAATTCAGTGCTAAAATACAAGTACTTTTAAAAGTAACAAATGTACTGAAAGAACTTCAACTAAAAAACAAATTTCAAGGTGGTGCCGCCTCAATTGAGAGTTAAAACTTCTCTCTTAAAAGTTTGTCGAATAAGATAAGCGCAAGGTCATAACAGCTCTAAGCGAATTATGAGGAACTTGAGAACACGTGTTACTTGTGTATGTGTTCGAACCGGTATTATTACATGGAATAACTGGTTCAAAGCTATGGCTACCTTTGATTCCAATTTTGCTTTGTTTGAATTACACTATAACTAAATTCAAGTCGAAAGATATCTAGTTCTTATGCATGGGTATCATATGATTTGAGTATGAAATTTAAATCGAAAGATATCTAGTCCTTATGCATGAGTATTGTATGATTTGAGAATGATTTTTTTTTTTTTTCAAATTTTGAACAAGTAGGGGATTGTTGAAATATTGTTCAACATTAAAGAAAAAATAAAATGGAATGAATAAATATGAAGAAAAAAACAAAAACGGTATTAGAGGTAAAACTTTGTTATATGTTGTCGTATAGATTAATACTATGCAGTTGCAAGATCGATTGCAGAGAATTCTGGGACCTATTTGGGTTGTTCTATGCAGTTGCATAGTTATACAAAATTGACCGTTGAAGGTCGGTTTCCTACCGTTACAACTCCGAAATGTGTTGGCTTTTCAAACTATTTTGGACCAATTCGTGCACATTGATGGTGGCCTGTATATAGGTGATGCATTTCAAGCCAAAAATAAGTGAGAAACATTTGTGATCCATATTCATTCCAATATCAAATATCAAATTCTTGATTAACATTCATACTCTTTTTTTCCTTGTGTTCTTAAAATTTTGGAGGATCACACTTGTGCTTTAGTGCTAGATCTTTTACAAAGTTTGATATAATCCTACGAACTGTTTACCAAAATCCTTAAGCATCTCAATCAATTTCGAGAGGATGCAAATATAGTTTGAGGACAATGATTACGCGTTCGAGTCTTTGATCTTGTTCTTATCAAGTTTCTGATGTTAATTATTTTTGTTGCATTATTGTGATATTATTCTTGTCTCTACTCCATTTTTCCTCCATATTTTTCAAACATATAATATTATTTTATTAATTTAAATTTTCTCCATTTGCGAATAAGTATGAAGCTTGCTTGAAACCCAAGGTATTCAAAATCTACATAAAAGCCCAAAAGCGCACGCAAGAAAAGAAATCGAAAGTAAAAGCGTGACATAGAACATTATAGAAGATACCTCCACTTTCATTTATATTTACCAAACCAACCACCCTTGCAATTGAAAGGCAATTCAGTCTCCACCTCTATGTATTCCTATAATTCTCGCTAATCCCATCTTACACAACGCACAAAATTCTTCTCAGAGAAAAAAATTCCGAATTCTCTTCTTAATTTGGTAAAAATTTATTTTCATTAATTTGAAAATGTCCAGACCTGATCAAGAAGCAATTGATACTCTCATGAGCATCACTGGTGTATCCGAGGCCACTGCTATTCAGAAACTCGAGGTAATTTTTACTGTAAAATCGCCGCTCAAAAATACTGGATTAATATTACTTTAGCTGTTTTTAATTTGGATTTTTTTTCTCGATTCCTTTTATTATTATTATTATTATTATTATTATTATTATTATTATTATTATTATTATTATTATTATTATATACATATAGGCGTTGAGTGTAATTTGCGAGCGTTAGTTGATTGTACTATAGTGTTTAACTTAGCTGATTAAAAAAAAAATCTGATGAGATACTAGGGGTTTTTCCGTACAGTTGAAGGAAGTTGCTCCTTTTTTTAGGGTAAATAAATATCATGTGCTCAGTTTTTCAATTGGTTCTTGTTCTATAGATTAGATGGGATAACTGTTCTGCAAATTTTGAGATAGGCTTATTGTTAAAAAGAGTGTAAATTATTGTAGAATGGATGAATCCGTAATTCAATTTGAGGTAATCTCTTTCACTTCACTCCATTGTGCTCATATTTTATTCTTTCAATTACAAATTTAAGTCATGATTTAGAAATTGTGGTGAGCATGTCACCTAAATGAAATGCATATGATGAGACACTAGAAGCAAGAAAACTTTGGATAAAGTTTGTGAGATCCACTTGGAATTTTCTTGATAATTTCTCGATGGTAAGTTGTTGGTGTCTAATATTTTTAACAACATTCGCTAAAAGCTTAAGCTGTTATTGATGGGCCACATTTATACATTTAACTCTTGTCTACAACCCCCCCCCCCCCTTCTCACATGCAAACTATGTTCATTTTCTTGATCAGAAGTCTAGCCAGTATTTATTTTTTTATAAACGGGCAGCAGTTACCTGCCTCTAATTCTTTGTTATTTCATCTAAAAACTTAAGAGAGTTTAGAGAGGAGCTACTTATATTCATTTAAATCTTGTCTTGAACAATTATCATGATTCAAAATTTAAAACCAACAAACTACCCCCAAAGATCTGCTTGTTAAAATGTGCATGGTATGTTTGGTGGTGTTGTGGTGTATAGTTTGTCCTTGAAGACAAAAGGAAATCATAGAGGAAGGAGAGAAGTCCATGGAGCTGTATTATTCTGTCAAATTAGGGTTATGGATATGTGCTATAGTTTTTATCTTTTAGTTGATTTCTGTGCAGTTTCTATAAGAAGAGGGAAAATGCAAAAAATGTACATTGAAACTACCCCATTTTTTCTTCATATCTTGCTCCACAGTTATTTTTGTTCTTAATGACTCAAAAGTAATTTCAGATGGTTGAGTGGAACGCCATTCCTTGTTAAAATACTCTATCCTTGATAAATCTTATTCAATCCATTGCTAAATATGTTGGTATTTGATGCAGACTGAAAAATATTTAATAGTAATTTTTGTGGACATGGGTATCAAACATAGCTGCCATTACATGGTGCAGAAGAAAGAAAGTCCTGTCTATCAATGGTCCAGTTAACTATGCAACTGTTGTATTTATAAGCTTTCAAGATCAGCTCTTGAGGAACTTAACATCTGAAACTACCGCTTGTGACTTTTTAATATTTATCCACATTCTTCTTTCCACTTCTTTCTGTCTGCTTCTAACGAGGTAATGATATGTATTGTGTTGAAAACAGGAGCATCACGGCAACCTGAATGAGGCTGTCAATTCACATTTCAGTGAAGGAGATAGAAACATGTTGGCATTTTCCTGTCCTTTGGGATCTTCCTCTTTTCTTATTCTTTCCATTTAAATATATATATGATTACTTTTATATCTCAACATCTTCAATTAAATTATTTTTTTCTCTGTGTTCAGAACGCAAGAGGCATCTTTTGCTGCTCCTCAGGATGATGTTATGGATATAGATGACCCCGTTCTGGCTGAATCTCGCAGACCTTTTTCATTATTCCCCTCTGCTAGAGATTTGCATCCATTTTCTTTACTTGATCCCAGCACCAGAACTTTATATAATAGTGGTACTGGTTTTGGTAGTCGTGCATCTTTTGTTTCACATCCAAGAGAGGTGAGGGAGATCCCAATTGAAGTGAAGGATGGGAATGGACCTGGTGGGCAGTCTGGTACTGCTCCTATAATTGAAGATGTCACTGAAACTGCACATCATGGACCAGAAATACGTGGGACTGTCACAGCAGTTGATGATGACGACGATGATGAAGATTATGTACCAGATGAACCAATTACACGTGCTTCTAGGCATAGGGCACGAAATAGCACAACGCGTAGTGGACCAAATATTCCCGCTATTGTTGATGTTCCCGACTACAACAATGATATAGAAGAAGAAATGATCCAAGCTGCCATTGAGGCTTCCAAACGGGATGCTAGAATGTTAGATCAACAATATGATGATCAACTTGTATGTGATAAGTTCCAATGTACAAGTTGTTTTCAGCCTGGACTGTGATTTTTAACTGTTGAAACATGTCGATCTGATACAGGATATTAGGAATCCCACTCATCAGCCTAGGCAGTCTCACCTAGAAGATCCTGAGCTTGCACGTGCAATTTCTTTGTCATTGAAGGTAAGCTTCTCTGCTTTTTGCCAACTTCGTGAATCTTTGTTGTTGCTCCTGTTAACATGAAGTGAGTTCAGACAGCTGAGCAAGAGAAAGTGCCGCAAGAACTGGAAGGAGAAGTTGGAGGGTCAAAACGGGAAGATCAGAAATCAGCTGAGGTTGAGGAATTGGGCAAATTAACATCCTCAACTCCAAGGTATATGCTTTCTTTGACGGCAATGTATTGATAATATTCTCCCAATTGTAACTATTCTGAGTATCTTTTCGCCTCTTATGTTCCCATTGCTCATAAATGTTCAAACATACCTGTTGGGTATCTCGATTATCTTCTGACAAAATATCTGTAGGCAACCTTGGTTGGAGGTTGGAAGTCCATCCATTCAAGATGAAGCAGAAGATGCAGAAGAGCATCCACTAGTTAGGCATGGGAGGAGACAATCACATATATCTTCAGGTTCTGTTGACACTACTACCCAAAATGTCAAAGTAGATGTTAACCCACCATCAAGTCCTCAACAGCGTGATAGCATTCGTCATATGCAGCATAATGGAAGTGACTTCCCGTCTGATGAGGTAACATCTTTTTTCTTGATATTCACGTATTTTAACTTTATATGATCTTCTAGAAACTCAAATTGACTGTTTTCTGCATTTCAAATACTGATAACATAAGCTTCCTATGTACATTTGTGTAAAGTGGGGTGGCATCTCATCTGAGGAACATGATGAAGCAGTAATGCTGGAGGCTGCAATGTTTGGTGGAATTCCTGAAGGAAGCGAATATCATGTCCCTTATGCACCTCGTCCACTCATGCAGAATGGTTTAGATAGACCTATGGGTCCTCACCCAAGGCATATGCTTCGTCCTCCGTCTCCTTCTCTTACTGCACAGCGATTGATACGGGAACAGCAGGTTCACTTAGTGTGCTTGCAGTAGAGGTAGATCAGTTTGTCCCATGATTTTAACCTATGTTTGCATGCAGGATGATGAGTATCTTGCCTCATTGCAAGTTGACAGAGAGAAGGAATTGAAGGCCCGGGAAGAAGCTGAAGCTGCTTTTGCAGAAGAGAAGCGCAAGGAGGAGGAATTGCGAAGAAAAATGGAAGAGGAACAGGTAACTGCTCTGAAAATTTGGAAAAGCGCGTATGGAGAGCACCTATCCTTGTCTTTGATTGAACTGTGTTTCATTACTAAATTTTATGTGTGGGTCAGCATTTTTCTTGCCAAGTTTGTTAGGTTAATTGTTGACCATAGGTGATGCTATGTTTTGTCTTTACGGAGTTGGTCCGAGACGAACAAAAACACGTTGGAGGAACTTTATCCAGAGACATGGACGTCTGTGATTTTAGTATACATAAGCTAGCTGCTCTAGGAAGTCATAGCTAATTGAGACCTGGACCTGTAGTTTCTTAAATCATATTGTCTTCTTTACATTAGATGCAATTTGGTGAACAAAAATAGGTAAAATGATCCATCACTGATACTATTCATGTGTTTGGGATCTAACTTGAAATGGGCCAAGTCAGCTATTCTTCCCTTTCCTCTGCCTGTATCACTTACTGCTAACAACTTAACAACATAAAAGTGACTACCTTGTACCAAATTATTGTCAAATTCCAGTTCTCAAATATAATCCATCATACTGTTGAGCTGAAAACTGTTGAGCTGAAAAGGATACATACTTATTTATCAGCAGCTGCATTTTGTAATACTATCAGGACATGTCACATAAAACTTCAGGAAACTAATAGTTAATTAGCTTTATTAACTATTATATTCCAGCACTACTATAGACTCCTAACGGATTGGACTATCATCTAACGACTAATTTAAGGCCATAACCACATGGATTATGGAAAGTTCTCGTGTCCTGCCATTACTAAGAAGACCAAAATAACCATAACTCAGAAAACATAAGACATCCCAATTAAAAAAATTCACTGGGTTACTCGCATAACGGAAAGTATAAAATTCAGCCTAAACTTGTTGCGGTTTGCTGTGAATCCTGCCACATATTAAGTACCTAATTCCTCTTCTTGTTAAGCAAACTTATCTTATTATTCTTTCATTTGATAAAACTTGCCCTCGGGTATTTGACTCTTTGGAATCTTGTAAAATTTCAAGTCTTATCTGTTTATGCTTCCATGCATGACAGCATGAGACTTCCAATATCAATTAAGGTTTTGTAGCGTGCATTCAAGCTCTTCTGTTAGGTAGATTTTGATTCCATCTGCATATTTCTTACTAAAAATTTCTTCAAAAATGACATGAAGTTGGATCGATGTTTTAACACTTGCCAGGAAATTGAGAGACAATTAGCAGCAAAGGAAGCTTCCCTCCCTCTGGAACCAACATCAGATGATGAGAATGCTGTTACTCTTCTTGTGCGAATGCCTGATGGCAGTAGGAGAGGTCGGAGATTTCTCAAGTCAGACAAGCTTCAGGTATAGATGTCAACATTTGATTTGCAATGATCCAGTGGTTTATGATATGACTTGAGTTGATTGTTGTTTATTTGCAGTATCTTTTTGACTTCATTGATGTTGGCAGAGGGATCAAACCTAGCAGTTACAGATTGGTAAATTCTTTCCTCTCCTTATCCTGCACCTTCTGATATGCTTTTCTGTTGATTCTTAAGCAAAATGCCATTCACTGACTGATATGCATAGGTGCCAATATCTTTGGCTAAGTTTTAGAACTTTACTTATAAGCAAATAAGTAAATTTTATATGAACTTAATCTAAATTTGAATAACTAAGTTACTTCTTCGACAGTGAGATGAGAGTTAATTTCAGAATTAAATAATTTCTTTATCATGAGAAGTAATTAATCTGAACTTGTTTAGAAACCAAAAAAAAATGTTGCTTTTATGCTTGTAATCATGTTTATGAATGACTTGTGGAAGAGTCTCTCTTGAAATCTGTAGATAATTAATCTTAATTTTACCAAAGCCTTTGCAATTGAGATAGAATTTGCTTTCGTTCATCTGATATGTACTCCGCATAAATAAATATCTGAATCGGCTTTCCTTCATCAGAAAATGCACATCACATAAATAAATGGGATATGTTTTTGACTAGTCAAGAATATGCTTAAATCATGTGAAACTCTTGCAAATGGGAAGAGAGGTTAAAGGAGCTAAAAATTGTCTTAACTTTGTCTTAGTTAATGAGAATGTCTAGATTGAAGACAAAAGGGAAAATTCTCTCTGAATTTTCTTTCATTTATTAGACACACTTAAATATGGGTAAATGAAATAGGTGAATACCCTATATGATGTGCATGGATTCAGCTATTCTGACTGTTGAACGGTTTTCCCATGTGCAGGTGAGAGCGTACCCTCGACGTGCTTTTAGTGATGGAGAGCGTAACTCGACTTTTAATGAATTGGGTTTGACCAGCAAGCAAGAGGCCTTGTATCTGGAGTCAATATAGCTTTGTTTATTTTGTGAACTTGATAGAAAACCGTTAGTTTATATCTTCTATTCTAAGCCGGGATTGTGGTTTTGTTGTTTTGATCGGGATGGACTATGACATGATTGATGAAGATAATTTGGCATGCCGATTGCTAGCAAAAACTGTGTCAATGGCATCTCGGTGTTGCTGGGGTCAAGAAAATATTCGATTAGTACGTTGGAAACCAATTAGACTGCATTTGAAAATTCGGCTTCTCCTAAATTGGATTCTTTTAATGCGTGTGCGTGGAAAAGTGATCAAAAGGGTGTGTTGCACATTTTGTTCGTTCCATTGTATTCTGCACTTTCTGAGTAGTGGTTTTCTTGTGATTTTGCCCTTATTCAAATACTCATTTCATTTGGTGTTTGAAGGTTATCTAATACAAAACGACACATTTGGTATTTCTTCTTTACAGCAACACTGCCTATCTCGAGTCCTTGAATTACAATGAGAAAGATTTAGCCAATTTTTGAGCTTTTTTTTTTTTTTTTTTTTTTTTTTTTGAAACTTTTTTTTTTTTAAAATTTTTTTTTAAGGTTACTAAATTATTTGATGATAATCAAATAGTTAGAATCTAAACTACAAGAATGGTATCTTTTGAAGCGTTGTTCTACTCTTTTCCTTTATTACTTTGATGCTGACTTAGTTAAAAAAAAAAAAATTTTTTAAAAAAAAATTTTTTAAAAAATTTTTTTTCAAAAACCCCCCCCCCCCCCCCCCCATCCCAAAAAAAAGGGGCTCAAATGGAGTTAGTAAATGTCTAGTGCATAATAGTCCATATGGTATTATGGTTGGAAGATATGGTTAACAAGGTTTTAGTTTTCAATTTTTTATCCGACATTGTTCAATTTACATTAACAAGCATGTCATTTGGTTATCGAGGGAAAAAGGTACAGTGGTGCATTAAAGAAGAGAATGTAGAAAAATTAAGAGTACGTTTTGTTTGCGTTTACTGAATAACAATATTCTTTTTATATTTGGTTAAACAGTAATTTTATTTATAAATTCCTAACTATTACTTATTCATTATTCATACATTTCTTGAGATACATTAATATTCCTCCTAAAAGTTCAATAATTTTAAACATAAAGGGATTTCTTATAAGACAACTAAAGATAAGGTTTGTTTAGGACTCAAGTTTGGTGCTAAATCATAACGTGTTCAAGGTCTAATCGGGATCCTATTACTGTTGTATTCAGAAAATTAAAATGTTAATAAGCCCTCTTTTGGTGAGGATTAAAATTTTTAAGTAAAATTCAATAACTTATTTTAATCATATATTTCATAGGACTCGTAACATTTAATCACACATTTCATTAACTTTTTTATAGAAAAAATTAATTTTAATCCCTATCAAGCAAGGTAGCGATAAATCACTTTTTATCCTTTTGGTTTAATTCTGTCTCAAGTTAAAATTCAACTTTCTAATGTACCCTTGATTTTATATTAATCCTGCAATGAATGATGTCGTGTTACCATAATCTCTCCGAAAATGAACTTAAGAGTACAATGACTAGATCTCCTTTTTCTATAAAATTGATTTTATTTATTTTATTCACCTGGCATAGGAGCAAAAGGCGCGCTCCAGCATTACCATATAATTATTGGAGCTAGTGTACGAGGCACAAAAAAACGTATGACATTATCAAGAATGGGAGAAGGTATGACTGCATATCGACATGACACAGAAGAGGCGTTGAAGATGATAGCATTTGTGATCAAGTTGCTTTCCCTCCTTCAATAGAAAGGGGGAATCACCATCTAATAGTCGTTCTTTCGAAAATGGTCTTTTAAACACGAGGCATTTCTTATCAACTTTCAACAACATTAAATGCTAGAATAAAGAAACCACCAGCATTTGTTTGATAGAAATTAAAACTCAAATTTAATCCAAATCAAAGTCAAAAATTAATTTTAACTACATATTCACGGGATCCATAACTTTTCAATCACACATTTTGCCAACTTTTTTTAATCCCCACCAAACAGGGACAAGAATACCATTTACTCTTTATCTTTTTACTTTAGTGCTTGTTTGGCAAAGTTCAATTTTTTAATCGAACATACTTTCTAATCTAATACTTATGATAAATTCATTATCCACATATTCGGTAAAAGTCACACTGATGATGATCCTACAACAACCCAACCAAATGTGAGAAAGCAGAAAATAGATTCATTGCGCCCCAACGGCATAAAACACAATGAAAATTCCTCGCAAAATCTAATCTAGCCTACGAATTATTTTATAGGCATCTGGTTTCGTAATAAAACATGCATTATGAATTTTATAAATTCTCAAATCAAATAAAATAAATTTTATTATCGCACAAAATAGGCATAAAAATCATAATTAGAATCAGTACAATCAAAATCTTCAGACTTTTAGACCTATTCATTTTTAAACACAAAACCCTTTCCAAATTCATACTCGTTCTGTGTACTGTGTACATGCCCCATTAGGACGACAGGAAAACTGGTATAGCTGCGATGTTTGAGCCCATAAGCCCACCAAAATTATGCATGTACAGTCGCAATAGAATTATTAGCGTTATTCGCTTCATTGCTCCGTAGGACGTCGATATGGCATGTATCTGTGGTCTTTTGCAGCATTCTTCCTTCTTCTTTTGTCAAGAAAAGACTCGAGTTTGCCAGCCCCCTAACAGATCACAAAAGTACATGTTATTTGACATGAACATTATAGTTATAGAGCATTTACAAGCAAATTGTGAGAATTGCTACTACCTTGAGTTCCTCGTACTTCTGGATGAGCTTTTGCTTCCTAATATCAGCTGCAAGGAAGAAAGATTATACAATTTAATCAACTAATGATTGGTATTCTTCTCAGGTTAATTGTGTATTTGTATCCTCTTCTTCCAATATGCTATTTATTAGTGTGTTTTGAATACTTTATGAGGTTACAACAAAAACAGATGGAAAGATGATCAGGAAAAAAAGAGTGACAATTTATTCCAGAATGAACAAGAGCAACTGAAAAACTGTGAACATAATTGACTGATGCATGTTTATGTTTTCACAATTGAGAGCAGCAACAGGACGAGATAAATATAGGGAGGGAAACAGCAAGGAGAGTTACATTTTTTCAGATAATAAGGTCGTTCCCCTTTCTTTGCAGCTTCTCTCTCTTTCTTCTTGTGCTCGGCTATAATTTCCTTATCGGTACGCTTTGTTACTCCAGATTTCAATTCTCTATCCTGGCAAGTGAGAGAATTTAGAAGAGTTGTAAACACAACAATCACAACTCAATTGAGGTGCGAGCATACACATTAAGGGATATGAATCTGTGCTGCAACAACAATGGCTTTGACTAGATAAAGCGCCAAATCACCTCCTTAAAGAACAAGTCAATATTTCATTAGGGAAATTGCATCATGGTTTCCAACAACCAAGTTGTCCCCAACCTTTAATTAAGAATAATATTATTCGCAGTCGCTCACTACGACAGTCGCCCTACGTGATGTACACGTGACTGGTGATTATCTGATACATTAGTCAATTAAAAAAAAACAAAAAAAAAACTACCATATTAATACATTAAATAACCAATTGCCATGCGTATGCCACGTAGGGCGATTGCCGTAATAAGCAACTATGAAAGGCATTACACTTCAATTAATCAGTCCACATTGATAAGACTGGTCTAAATCTAAATCTAAATCTTCCACACGTGACTGGTGATTATCTGATACATTAGTCAATTAAAAAAAAACAAAAAAAAAACTACCATATTAATACATTAAATAACCACTTGCATGCGTATGCCACGTAGGGCGATTGCCGTAATAAGCAACTATGAAAGGCATTACATTTCAATTAATCAGTCCACATTGATAAGACTGGTCTAAATCTAAATCTAAATCTTCTACAAATCATAATGTAGCCCCTGTGGAAACATGACACGTCAAATTTTTGGATACAATCCAAGCCCGGTACAAAACTAGATTCTTAAAGTTCGACATGTGAAGCCCATATGAACATTCAACAAAGATTTGGATGGTATATATCTAGAAGACTGATGTGCAGTTGTAGCAAAAGATTGAGGACCAAATTGTTACTAGGGCAATTAGTAGGGGACCAATGGTACAATTTCCCCAGTTCACTAAGGTCAAAAGGGAGGAAACCCCTGTTTACAAACCTATACACACTATCTCTCGGAGTCTAAAGGAATCTTGCTGAAATCTTGCTGAATATCTGGTTTTGAAAGGCATTCATAGTAAAAGCACTTACCATCTGAGTTATACGATTCTTGAGCTCAATTATAACTTCTGGATCTTTTTCTTCTTTCATCCTTTTCTTTAATGCCTACAGATGCCAAAAAGAGTGATCAATTTGGCAGAAGCTGACACAAAAGCAGTATCATATAATTATTTAAAACACCGAAATGCTACCTTTTTCTCAGCAGGCAATTCATTTTTCAAGTTCCGAGTTGTACCACAAGATAAATACTAAGAAACTCGAGTGGAAATAAAAAATTCTTCTTTTTCAAGTCCAGCCAAGCTAACAGACACTAATAGCATACTAAGCAACCAGAATACAGACATATGTCACGGACCGCAAGGAGGTGACTTGAGGCTTGGCATGACGTAGGAATGTCATGGCACTAAGTTGGAAAATGAGGTGAGGGGCCGTAGTGCAGCCCCAATTGAAGGAATGAGTACACGAGGTAAAAGCAAAGCACAAGAAGCTTCCGTGATGGAAGGAATGAGTACACTTGCCAGAGTTCATTATTGTCCATCCATTTAAGAACCAAATATGATGTACAAGCCTCTACCTTAGATGGACTCTAGATTTGAAATAAATAAATTGAAAGGACAAATGGAAGCAACTGTTCATTTTAAAAGGCAGGGAAAAATGATCAAAAAAGATTTATGAGATTTATAATTAAGCTTTTAACGTAAACTCACATTTTTTTTCCCGAAAGGTAACAGTTTCATAGATCTATGCCTATATTCTACTATCAAGATCAAATATGGTCCATCAAATATGTACGAATCATAATCATATCAATTAAAATCGTTCAAAGTGTGCAGATGTGCACGCATGCGTTTACATACAGTCGGCAAAATAGGAGTGTCTGACGAAATGAAGCTTACCCTTCTACATCAAGTTCACCGTACAATAATTCAAAACGAGGATCACGTGCCACCTGAAATAAAGTGCAAATCAATTTAAAGCAGAGCGCTTTTGCAAAGACAGGGTAAAAGAAATCAGAAAATGATGAAGCTACAGCAAAAGTAATTCTTATATTGCTAATTTCATCTAAAGACTATTAGAATTTGCATTAAACAAAGTTTTTGTTCATACATACATACTGAATGGTTTCACCAAAAATAATATTTGCAAATCCACAACGAGAAGATCTTTAGCAAGAATAAGTGACAATGTAACTATAAAATGAACAAAATACAACGAGAAACATAATTCTTTGCAACATGCAAGTAAAACTACCAACAGGGCCTAAAGTGGTTGTGCGAACAGAGCAAGTAGATTCCAGGTTCCCAAGAAAGTCACACAAACAAACCATGACATCACAATATTTTTCTATTACCACTTTTACATTTTTAAGTATCCATTATACAGAATACAGATGTTTAAATTTCGAGATTCTACCGGTTGCATGACAAATCAAAATAGTAAAATTCTACCGTTGCATGTTGGTCTAGTGGCATCTGTAGGCTTTTCCCACATTCGTGGTGGCAGTTCGAATCCTTCCAACCATTTCCCCTCAGCATTGTACTCAAAAATAATAATAATAATAAAAGAAAATAAAACCCACTTTCTTTGGAACTTGGACGACTTCTCTGAATCTGCTGACAGGCTTCTTGCTGCTCATCTCCATAGGTCTTGACAATTACAGTAATAAAAATTTAGCAAATAATATTACAAAACCACAAAAGTCTAAATATTTCAAGCAATCATGACAAGAAAAAACCTGTTCTTATTGGCTCGGCTGCTGTTTTTCTCTGCATTGGGCTTCCTGTACACCATCTCCGATCCATCAGACCGAGCTCTCAGCAGCTCTTCGAATGTCACATCGGCAAGCTCCCGCTCAATCTCCTCCTCCTCCTCCTCCTATTCAAATTAAATGTTAACTAGACTTAATAGGAAATAGACGGAGGTTTAAATAAGAATCTGATAGGCCACCTATCAAGTATACCTATGCTAGAAGAAACAAGTAGGATTGAGAAGCAACTAGAAGAGAATAACAGCATTCTGTTACAGGACAAGTGGGGGGAATTAATCTGTTAGGGAAAGGGTTATATATAGAGGTAGGCATGAAGGGATATGTAGGCAATTTGAGTAAAAGAGTCTAGTTACTGCCCTTTTGAATTCAATACAATTCTTGTTTCTATCTTCTTCTAGTTAGAACCTTATCAATTGGTATCAGAAAATGTTCAATCTGATGGCCCAAAAGAAGATAGAAATCAGAGTGGAAGTAATGGAGAAGAAGATGAAGGAATTGAAATTTGAGATGCGGTGCTTATCAGGCATAGAGAGGTCAGTGGCACACCTCAAACAGGGCATGACTAAGATGTTGCAGTCAATTGAAGAAATCAAGAAAACTGTAGCAGCACTTAATCTTCCAAAAGATTGCCATGAATACAATTATGGATAGAGATGGATTAGGAGTGTTTCGGAGACTAATATTTCTGAGAAGTTTTCAGCATGGAAATCAGGGACAATTCATGGAGAGATGAAGACTAGCGCACCTTTTTACACACGAACAGTGACTGTCAGAGAGAACCCCGATTCATCACCCGAAAATTGTCGTGATGCTGGAGGGTGGGGCTATCCTCAAGTTTATTCCGACCAACAAATTGCAGCACATGGAAATTTTGTGGTTGGGTACGATGGGCTATGGAGTTTGCTTGGGCACTATACTACCAATAGTCAGTTAGTTGGCCCTATCCGTTGGATTGAAATATTCCTTTTCTACATTGGCCGCGGAATGGATTCGTGCCAAAGAAAGGATTCAGATACATGATACTCCAAATTTTGCAGTTGAATCACACTTCCACCTTGAGGACAAGGTGTCTTTGGATCCCCGGGGTATTGATAGGCCACCTATCAAGTATACCTATGCTAGAAGAAACAAGAAGGATTGAGAAGCAACTAAAAGAGAATAGCGGCATTCTGTTACAGAGCAAGTGGGGGGTTATAGAGGTAGGCATGAAGGGATAGGTAGGCAATTTGAGAGTTAAAGAGAGTCTAGTTACTGGCGTTCTGTTTGTATTCTCTGTAATCCCTTTTGAATTCAATACAGTTTTGTGTTTTGATCTTCTTCCAGTTAGAATCTTATCAGAGTCACTAGAAAATCCAAA